TAACATGTTTGGTCTTCATTTTTTAAAATTTATTTTTCTTTAAACATATTTTCAATCATATATTTATGAAATTCACACTTTTGTTCTTGAATTAGTGTGGAGAAATAGAGAGGCATGACTGTAGCGCGTAAAAATGGAGAAAGAGTAAATAGGGCTCTATGACATAATCCTCCATGCTGCGTAAATTAAGGAAAAGCAACAAAATCACTGTATCTAACACGTAAGATAAACGACGTCGTTGCTTTCTCTAAAAAAAAAAAGCTACAGTGAGACAAAATGGAAGAATCTACTGTTCTTTTTACAGTAGTGAAACATTACCCTTTTTATATAGTAGTGAAAAACGTGAATGGGATGGTACTGTAGACACAACAGTAAACCAATCTCATTTTACTGGTCACGCTCTTTTCCCTCTTTTTTTTTTTATTTTGTTGTGAAAAAGAAAAAATCTTTGCTTGGACCATGCCAACCATACTCCACCACCATACTCCTTATTTTTCTTTTTATTCTTTTTATTGATATTTTCATTCTTACTTTTTCGTGAAATCTTTGGATCACATATTCTCACATTTTCGTGAAATCTTAAGCTTGCTGTAGGATGGGAAAACAACAACGTTGGATACCTACATGTACAGAGGTTGATTTTCTTCGATCCATATTTGATGGAGGAAATAAAAGTCCAAGTAATGCAGAAATTTCAAATATAGTCTCCACCTTATCCTTATACAATCCTGTTATTTCTGAAAAAAATGTTGGTGATTGGTTTAAGGATAGACGAGCTTGTGAAGGAAAGAGAAAACACACGTGCATTGAGAATCCTCAACTCAAAAATCTGATGCATGAAGTGCAACCTTGTTCTGTAGATCGACGTTTACGAACATTCAGCTTAACAGGTTGTATTTAGTAGTGTTTATACTTCTTTAGGTTCTTGTATTTGTTTTGATTAGATTTTGTCAAAAAAAAAAAAAAAAGAGTTGCCGACAGTTCAGCTTACTAATTTTTTTGGCAGTTTGAAGAAGCTGATTTTGTAGTTGGTTTTTTATATAATAATTATGTTTAGTTTTTAGTTTAATCTGTTATTGTTATTGTTTTTGTCGAAGAATTTTTTTTTTTAATTCCGCACTGTACGAAGAGTGCGGAAAAAGAGTGATATCTCTGCACAGTTCGCATAGATGAATTCATCTTTGCGAACTCTTTGGAGATCTTTTTTTTTCTTTGGCGGTATTTTTTTATATAATATAGTTTTTCAATTTTTTTTTTTGTTATAATTTCCTGTTTTTTCAAATTTCTTACTAATCAACATTTTCAATCAAGGAATAAGGGAATGAGTGTGAGTGCAGAAAAATTTGTTAAAGTAAATACTTATATTTTGTCATCTTCTAATTCTCCTGTTACAAAAAAAATAGAAAAAAAAACAGATAATTTTGTTGTAATGGAAAGGTTTTTAATAAAAAAAAGTTATTAGTATAGTTTTTTCTTCCTCCGCAAAGATGTGTTTTTAGTTTCCTGTAGAAAATTTTTTTCAAGACTCTCTGTACTGTAGGAAGAGAGTGTACAGAGAGTGCGGAAGAAGAGTGATCTCTCCGCACACTTAGGAGAGATGAATTCATCTCTGCGAACTAATCGGAGAATTTTTATTTTTTTGCGGTCTTTTTTATATAATATAGTTTTCTTTATATATTTCGTTATAATTTCCTTTTTTTTTCATGATGCTAATCAACATTTTGAATAAGGGGAATGAGTGTGACTGTTGAATAAAGAAATATTTATGTTTTGTGCTACAAATGTCTATAACAGAGGATTTATCGTTATGATAGAAAGGTTTTTAGTATCATCTACTTCTACATCTTTATAAAAAAGTTGTTAGTGTTTGCCTTTGTGTAGTTTTAGTTTATCATCTTGTTGTGCTTTATTTGTTTTATTTGTTTACCGGCGAAAACTCCTTGTTTCGCAGAGATGAATTATCTATTCGACCTTTTTGGAGTATTTTTTTTTTAAATAACTCTTGTTTGGTCTTTTTTATATATAATTATGTTTATGTTTAATTTATTTATATGGAATGCTTTTTTCCTTACAATTTCCTTTTTGTTTCGAATTTTTTCTTGTAGACGATGCTAATCAACTTTTGAATTAGGAGAAGGAGAATCAGGCGACGTGAACGTGAGTGTTGAATATGCAGAAAAAATTTGTAAAGGAAGTATTCCTGATGAACCTTATGTTTTGCCATCTTCTAAAGTTTGTGGTTATTGTGGTGCTACAAAATTCTATAGAGAAAGTAAAGGCTTTTGTTGTTGTAATGGAAATGTCAAATTACAGTTACATGATATACCTGCTGAAAATGTATAATTTATTTACTTCCACATCTGAAGAGGCTGTAGTTTTTAGAAAGATTATTCGTAGTTATAACAATCATTTTGCCTTTACTTCATTTGGTGTTAAGTATGACAAAGAATTGTGTAAGAATAATAAAGGTATATATACTTCTAGAGTTCAAGGACAAGTATACCATTTCATCAACTCGCTTGTGCCAAAGAATGAGAATCCAACTTATTTACAGTTATACTTCTGTGATAGTGAAAATGAAAGTTGTAATAGACTGAATACTTCTGATAAGTTTTGTGAGTTTACTTTAAGAAAGTTGATAGATGTTCTAAACAAAAATCTCTATTCAAAGTTTTTCCGATCATTAAGTAAAGTTAGTGATTTAGAATCATGTTGTATTTTACTAAAGTCTAATCCTACTGTTGATCAAAGAGTATATAACTTGCCAATTCAAAACAAGTGGTTGTAGTTTGGGTTGACGACGACCTATCATCTACAAATAGTAGAGGTCGGGATTTATTAATTTATAGGCATTCATGTAATGCATATAAAGTTCAATACTATTGTGGTTGTTATGATCCTCTCCAATATCCACTACTTTTACCGTATGGAGAAGTTGGATGGCATGAAGGTATTGAAAAAGTGAATGTAAGTGTTTCACAAGCTCGGGTTTGTCAGAATTTAATAGAAGTTAATCATGTCCATTCTGTCGATCAATTATTGGTAGTCGAAGATCATGGTAAACAATTTTAGTAATTTCTATTTTTTAAACTATTTTATTTATGTAATTAATTGCATTTAGTGAATGAAGTTTTTGTTGATATAATTTTTTTTTCTTGTTACAGTTTTGAAGGTAAAGAAAAAACGAATAACTGTATCATGTCGAGAATATTATTGTTACAAGCTTTAAATCAGGTGTATAAGTAATTGTATTCTTTTACATGCTGACAGACTTTTACAACAATATGTTGTGGATATGTACGTGAAAATTGAAACAGCAAGATTAGACTACTTTCGTAATAACCAAAATTTTATAAGAGCTGAACTATATCAGGGAATTGTAGATAGTGTACACAATGGTGAGAATAGAGGTTATAAAATTGGTAAATCATTGGTGTTGCCTTCTAGTTTTATTGGAGATCCTAGAAACATGACTAAAAGATATATAAATGCAATGTCTTTAATTCAGAGATATGGCAAACCAGATATGTTTTTGACAATGACATGTAATCTAAATTGGCCTAAAATAAGATGTGAATTGAAACACAGTGATGAAATACAGAATATGCCAGATTTATTAGTACGAATATTTCGTGCCAAGTTTGAGGAATTGAAGACAGATTTGGTTAAGACAAAGTTGTTGGGTCCTATTGCTGCATATGTTTATGTTATTGAATTTCAGAAAAGTAGATTACCTCACGCTCATTTTCTCCTTATATTTAAAAGAAATTCTAAGATTTGAAACTCTTCGATGAAATTGTCTCATCAGAAATACCAGACAAAAAAAATTACCCTTACCTATATGCTACTGTTGTAAAACATATGATGCATGGTCCTTGTGGAAATTTGAATCCTAAGAATGTTTGTATGGAAAAGAATTTTGTGTGTAAGAATAAATATCCGAGAGATTATGTTGAAAATACTTCTTTGAGTAATGATTCCTACCAACTTTACAAGTGTCGCAATGATGGTGTATGTGTTAAAGTAAGAGAGTGTATCTTGGATAATAGATGGGTTGTACTATATAATCCTTACATTTTAGCTAAATATGATTGTCACATTAACGTGGAGGTGTGTTCTTCTGTCAAAGCTGTTAAACATCTACACAAATACGTATATAAGGGACATGATCGGATTCAATTTACTTTAAATAAAGAAACAAACGAAGAATTTGTTGATGAGATTTCAAACTACCAAACAGCTAGATGGATATCTCCACCTGAAGCTATGTGGAGGCTATTTAGTTTTGATTTATTTGATATATCTCCTACAGTAATCTCTTTACAGTTACATACTAAAGTACTCAAATAGTTAAATACAAGGAGACAGATGATTTATCAAAGGTTATAAATAAAGATTTTGTTCACCGAACAATGTTAGCAGAATTTTTTACAATGAATATTTCAAATGAAAAAACAAAAACTTTACTGTATAAAAATTTTCCAACATATTTCGTATGGAATACATCCATGCAAATTTGGACTCCTAGAAAAAGAAAAAATGTTATTCGTAGAATAATCGGTGCTAATCCATGTGATGGTGAGAGGTAATTTTTAAGAATTTTGCTAAATCATATTAGAGGGCGAAAATCTTTTGAAAATTTAAAAACAGTCAATGGTATTGTTTTATCTACTTATTGTGAAGCAGCACTTTCTCATGGTCTTCTTAGTGAAAATAACTATTCTGAAATGTGTTTATCTGAGGCAGTTGCTTACCAAATGCCTGTATTACTGCAACGACTATTTGCTAATGTATTGAGTTTATCTTGCCCTATAAATTCAAGGAATTTATGGGATAAATTTAAGAATTTCATGATAAAAGATTATTTACATAAATGTTTCACACACCAAAGTGCTGAAATGAAAGCTTTACACTTTATAAATTCTTTCTTAGAAGGTGTTGGTAAAAATATAATTGATTTTTGTTTGGTAGATTTTGATTTAACTATGAATGATGATGATGTCTTTCAAACCATGATTGCCAAAAAAACAAATAATATTAATTTTCAGTCAAACATACATTATAGTGAGAGTTTAAATAAAGAGCAACAAAATGCCTATGATATTATTTTGGATTGTTTTTTAAATGATAAGAATGGAATGTTTTTTATTGATTGTCCAGGAGGCACTGAAAAAACATATTTGTACAAGGCATTACTTTTTGGTGTACGATCTCGAAATCTTATCGTACTAACAACGGCGTCGTCAAGTGTGCCTGCATCTCTATTATCAGCTGGTAGAACGGGACATTCAAGATTCAAAATTCCACTTGAAGTGAGTTATGATATGCGCTGTTCGGTGAGTAAACAGTCTGCGCTTGGTAAACTTTTAGCATTGTCTAGGCTAATAATCTGGGATGAAACATCAATGGTTCATAAATATGCTTTTGAGGCTTTAGATAAAATATTGAGAGACATTACCAAATGTCAATTACCATTTGGTGGAAAAGCTATTGTGTTTAGAAGAGATTTTCGACAAGTTTTACTAGTAGTACAAAGAGGAACAAAAGATGATATAATGAAGGCAAGTTTAGTTTTTTCGCATTTATGGCATTCTTTTACACAGCTAGCATTAATTGAAAATATGAGAGCTAAATTAGATCTTTCATTTTGTGAATATTTGCTGAAGATTGGGAATGGAATAAAGAGAACACATTCATGCCAAACGATTACACTTCCTGAAGATATTACCATCCATTTTGAAAATGAATTTAAATCATTGAAGGAATTAATTGACATTGTGTTTCCCAATTTCCAGACATATGGAAACAACCTACATATTATGATGAATAGAATTATTTTAACTCCAAAAAATGAATATGTAGTTTTAATAAATAATATGTTGCTTAAAGAAATTTGGGGAGAGAAAGTTACATATTTTAGTTTTGATAAAGTGATTGATAAAAATGAAAGTTTTATTGATGAAGATTTTTTGAATAGTCTAACTCCAAATGGTATACCTTCACATGAACTCATATTGAAAAAAAATTGTCCAATTATGTTGCTGAGAAATATCAATCCTGCAGAAGGTTTATGTAATGGAATTAGACTTATTTGTCGTGACTTTAAGTAAAATGTTATCTTAGCTGAAATTGGAATAGGAGAATATTGTGGAAAGCAAGTATTTTTACCTAGAATTCCATTTATTCCTCTTGAAGGCAATAAACAGTCTGTACCATTTAAAAGAACTCAATTTCCAATTCGTCCATGTTTTGCAATGACTATTAACAAATCTCAAGGTCAAGCTCTAGATTTTGTTGACTTATATCTTCGAGAACCTGTATTTTCCCATGGTCAATTGTATGTTGCATTGTCCCGAGCTAGAATAAGAGAAAATATAAAAGTTCTTATCAAACCTTTTGTCAAAAACAAATCACATAATTGTTGTACCAAAAATATTGTCTATCATGAAATCTTGAATTTAGTTCACGATAAATATTAAATCTTCAAGTATATGCTTAATTGTTTGTTATAATTCTTTATTGATTACATTTATTTTTACAAACACAAAATTAATAACAAATCTAAACTTATGACTTCTGATTGTCATGATGAAATATTGATTTTGCA